CCCCTGCTTTGTAGTTTGGTATGCGTAAAAAATTAGGAAATTCATGCTCCCTAGATGAAACAGGCATTCATGAGAGCTAGATTTGAATTTGCTGGTTCGCAAATGAAGGGGGAACATCTTGCAACAATTTCAGCTTCTTGTCCTATCCCTTTCCCGAACCAAAAATTTCCCACGTAAAATTCCACTTGTCGGTACCTGAGAAAAGTGTGAACGAAAGCTGAATTTGAAATTTCAGGGCTACACATTCAGAGCAAGCATCACAATTCCAACTTTTTACCTTGCCGGTTCCAGGGGCGGGAAATTTTGCGCCAAAAAAAATTCCCGTGCTCCCATATATGAGGCTTGGGCGTAAGTGGGGACTAAATTTGATTTCTCGAGATCCGACACAGGCCTGAAATATTACCTCAAAATTTCAGCGTTCCAGCTGTTGTGTTCCCGAACTATTAACTCTGGCGCTAAAATTCTCATATGGCCGTACGTGAGGTCTAGGCATTGCGGGGCTAAATTTAAGAAGTCACAAGCAGGTAGAAGACATCCCCTCCAAGCCTCAGTTTATTCACTTTTCTGATTTTCAAGTTAATAGTTTTGGTGCCAAAACTGCAGCATGACCGCACGTGAGGCCTAGTGGTACATGAAGGCTGAATTTAAATATGCGGGATCATACGTGGGCGAGGAGCATTTCCTAAAATTCCGACTTCCCAGTTTTTGTCGTTTCTGACTAATTTCATCGCCAAAAATTTCATTTGATCGTACAAGAGATCCGGTAGTACGGAGGCTGAATTCAGGTTCACGGGGTCACACGTGAGTAAGGGGCAAGGGGCATTATCTCGAAACTTCAGTTTCCAAGCTGCTCCGTTCCCAGAACTACCAATTCTGGCGCCAAAATTTTCACATGGTTGTTCGTGGGTTCTAAGTATACGCAGAGCTGAAATTACATTTACTAGATCAAACCCGGGTAAGGAACATCTCCCCCAAAATCTCAGCTTCTTCGCTCCTTGGTCCTAGAGTTATTAGTTTCGATACTAAAACTTCCAAGAGGTATATGATGGTTTACGAGTTGAAAATTACGAACAAAATTCACTCAGACAGATAGACACACCATATATACATACTTTTACACACACACAAACAGGTTCGTGACAACATGTACTTCGTGCAGCAGTTGCCCAGAAAAAACGCATAAAAAACGGATGAAACGTACTATTTATGGAATGCTGTAAATAAAGTAAAACATAATGACATTCCAGTACAGAAAACTTGAATCAAAGCACCTTCAAGCAAAATCATCCATTCTCGCGTTATTTAAAAATTATTAACGCGCACAGAGACTTCCCGTTAAGACATGCTTTTTTGCACAAGCAAAAAATCTCTTAATTTTTTTGCCAAAATGCGAATGCAAAAATGCATGCTGTGACGCCCCTGATGTGTTGTGTGTATGCGCGTGCATGCGTCTGTCCGGATATATCAACTCGGCAACCAAGCAACCTCCGGCGCCAAAATTTTGCCAGTAGGTTCCCTGGCCAAGTGCCACCCCAGGACCGTGGTAACTACTTTCACGTACGCCCGAGCCTCGCTTACGAGCGCTTGAAAGTTTCGGCAAGAAAATCGCTGACTCGGCAACCAAAAAAGCTAGACAGCTGATATTTTGAAGTTGTGTTCCCCGTCCGCACAGAACACGAGGGTTTAAAGTTCAGTCCCTAGGTGTGCGTGGTTGCCACGTAGGCCTAGTAAAAACTTTTGGCGGAAAAATCGTTAGCGTGGGAACTAGGAAAAATGGGAGGCTGAAATTTTGAGAGGATGTCCCCAGCCCACGTACGAAATAGAAACTTCAAGTTAAGGCCACAGGAGGGCGTAGTTCT